TGGGACTTAGCATACCATGTGACAAGTTCTGCCAAAAGATAGTGCTAGAGGGAGTCTGAGGGACCAAAGGGAGGTGACACACTCCTCCTGTCACTTCTTCCTATCTGTTATCTGGCAAGGCTGCCTCCCCTGCTCCCCTCTGAGTTACCTGGTCAATAACCTCAAAAACTATCAATCTATCTGGTTGACAGTTGTCATGGTTGTGCCGGCTGCAGTCCTACATTCCGTGGCTTGATTTCCACAAGAACAACTGCGGTCTGAAAAGCTGACATTCATCAAGGCTGTTCAAGAGAGACAGGCCACACAACCTCTGTCACGGATTGTTGTTCCCTTGGTTGTATTTCACACCAGCTCCTGAGGCCAACCTCTAACTGAGGCTGACTTATAGATGAAGCTTTAGCACAGGTGCGCAAGCACAGAAAAGATGCTCTGCCTGCACAGGGCACCTCCTGGGGGTCTTGGACCATCCCTCACAGAAGAGTGGGCACCGCTGCACAGTAAACGCTCACAGAGTCCCGGTCCAGAGGGGTCCACACTGCAGCCTCCAAATCATTCTGACAGAACGGATGGGATGGCTGCATTATCCAATAAGAAGAGAAGGACGGTCCCCAGACTCCCGCAAGGCCCCGCAGGCAGTGAGGAAGCCCCGCCCACCGCCAGGCGGGTGACCTGCTCAGGGTTCTTGGCAGGGCCCGGGCCAGAGCCATTGCCACCCGCGCTGTTCCTCCTTGATGGCCTTCTGCTTTCCCTCCACGCCGCTGTCCCTGGCCAACGTGTCGGGCTAGCCTCCGCTGGTCCTGACGGCAGCGCCCAGGTCCGGTCTCCTCCTGCGGGCGGAGCTCCCGCCGCTGGACCGCTGACGGGAACCAGATCTGCCCACACCTCGCGCAGGACGCTTCCCTAGCGAGCCTCCTCTGGCTCCTGCACCCTCGCTGGGTCATATTTTTGGTGAGCAGAGTTGGTTTCATTGCCTTAAAAAAAAAATCAGGATACCTCGGCCCCCAGGAAAATGTCATTCAGACAAGAAGGTGGGTGTGAGTTCTAAAATGACCTAAAATAGGAGGCCAGAGCCACCCTCTCAGAGGCCTCTTGCAAAGCTGGGCATAGGAGATGGTGAAAGAAGCAGCAGAGACAAAGTGGCAGGCCATGGCCACCTGGCTGCCACAGCTCTGTGCTTGGTTCTGCCGCTGCCCCCATCTGAACCGTCCTCCAGTCTCACTGCCGCCTGGAGCCTTCTCGGGTGACATCTGGTTCCACGTCATGCCCCTCACACCAGTGAGAAGACAAGCCCCCCATAGCACTGGGAGAGAGGGCCACCCTCTCCCACCATCAGGAAGACAAGCACAAGGGCACCCAGCAGCACTCCTCCCCCAGGGCTGTGGGGGGCAGATAGAAAGGGTCTGAAAGCTGGGTACCCCCAGGTCCCCTCTGGTGGTGTCTACGCTGGCAGGGCTGCTGTGGAGAACCAGCTGGCACTTCAAGCAACATCTCAGACACACACACCCTGTGACCCTGAAGTCCCACTTCTCAACAGCCTCCCTTGGAGACACTCCCCAGGCAGAGTGATCACCGAGAGGTGCTTGAAATAGGGGCACCCCACTCCACCTCAACATCATCAACGTGGCAACAGACGAGCTGTAGGGAAGTAGGCAGGAGGGATACAGTGAGCCAAACCCCAAGCCCAGAGCAGGGCGTGCACCGGCTGGCGGTCTCGGGCCATTAGGCTTCTTCCTGCTGCAGGGAACCAGGCTCCTGGGAGAAGCAGCTGGTTCCGGGGCTGAGGCAGGAGGGGTACAAGAGGATCTGGACACCCTGCAATGCCAGAGTGGAGAAGAACTCAAGAAAAGTGGCAGCGCGTCTTAAGGACACAGGAAGGGGCTCCCCAGTGGCCAAAACAGGGCAATTTAGCACCCAAATAACTAAGGATAGTCCAGTTGTCCTTCCACATGTGCAGACATCCCATCTGCAAATTCAACTAAGCACAGACAGAAAAGAATCAGAAAAAAAGATTGCATAGACCGCTTTTTCTTGTCCCTAAAAACAATGCATTATAATGACCATTTACATTGTATTAGGTCCTATAAGGAAACAAGAAATGTTTTAAATTGTACAACATAGGTTATGTGCAAATGCTAAACCAATTTATAGGTGGCTTTTGAGCATCTGCAGTTTGCTATCTGTGAGGGTCCTGGAACCCACGCCTGGCAGATGTCAAGGAAGGACTAGCATAAGCTATAGACCATTGAAAAATTAGACCCACTGATCATAATAAATGGACTCATACACAGGGAAAAAGAAGGAACTCAGCATATGGCAGAGCACCAAGCCAGCTGGTGTACGAGAAGAATCTCACAGCTGTAAAGCCACACCTTGTCACCACCGTGAGGGCTGGTCCAGGTTCAAGTCATCCATGGGCCCTATGTCTGTGGGGAGAGGTGGTGAGGGGCAGGCTGCTTGTCTCCAGTGTCTCCCAACAGACTGCTCATTAGCTGCAAGAACTAAAGGCAGTAACTACACAGTAGACAGACAGGATGACACCTTGACCAGGTGACCAATATTTGCATCGCCAGCAAGGGGCAGGTGGACACACAGAGGGTGCAGACGTGGAGCCCTGAGACTCATCACCTAGATAATAAGCACCTTGTCTCTGATCCACAGTCACATCACGAGAGACATCAGAAAGCCCACATGGAAGAGGCCAGTTCTACTGAAAGTCACTGTATCCTTCCAAAGGGCCAACATTATACAACCAAAGCTATACAGTGTCCCAGGTCAGAAGATCAAAGAAGCACAAGACAGCTAAAACACAGCATCTGATCCTAGCCTGGGTCCCAGGTTTGAGGGACAGATACCATGAGTAGCTTCATTGGGTCAGCTGACCAAAGTGGCCTGCAGCAGCTAGGGTGGATAAGAGTAGCATGTCCCTGCTGAACTTAGAGGAGTTGGTAGCTACTACAGCCATTGAAGAGAACATCTTACTCTTAGGAATTATGCAGTGAAGTATTAGGGGTAAAGGGACATAGCAGATGCCATATTTTCAAATCATCCAAAAAGAAAATTAAATTTTATATATTCATATACAAATTATATATAAAGTGTATGTGTATGCACATCATATATGCACAAACATTTACATACAGGTAGACATCGATGTGGCAAGGAGGGCAAAATGAGAATTCTAGGGAAAGAGGACTTAAAGATTCTTTGAGCCAGTTCTCGCCACATTTCTGTTTCAAAATAAGAAGTTGTTTCAAAACAAAAAGTTGGAAATAAAGAAGAATGATGTAGCTGTGTGTGCTAGCATAGAAAGAGCTTCAAATACAGTGCTCAGAGAATAAAGGAAAGTGAAGGGAACTCACTCCATGTGGTTTCTTCCGATATCACATGTATTTGTACGTAGGTTAACACATCACGGACCAAGAAACAAATGGCAAGTTGGCAATGGATGGGGTTTACCTGTGGTGCAGAGAAGGGGAAACCAGAATGGCAGATAGAGAGTCTCTTGGTTTATCTGGAAGGTCTTATTCTTCATAGAAGGGTGCATGTGACTTGTTCCCATTAGAAGTAACTTTGGGGGCTGGGGCTGTAGCTCAGTGGTACAGTACTCGCCTTACCTGTGTGAGGCACTGGGTTCGATCCTCAGCACCACATATAAATAATAAAGATATTGTGTTCACCTACAACTATATATATATATATATATATATATATATATATATATATATATATATATATATATATATAAAATAAAGTCACTTTGTCTGAAGGTTAAGCTGCCTTCCTCTCCTCTCCATCCATCAATGACCAAGGTCACAGCCCAGGTCTCCTAACACAGCATGCATTTAAGCATTAAAGCCCACTCCACTGTCTGACAGTCTGAGAAACCCTGTGACCCTGGGGTGGGGAAATGTAGTTGGGATTCCACAGCAGTCGCTGGCCTCCGATCAGACAGAGCTGCCTGGGACCCTGTCTCTGTCTCTCACTGAGAGGTGCCAGGGCAGCAGGAAGCACCCACTCGGAGCCTCAGGTTCCTTGTGTGAATGAAGAGAAACAACGTCTCGAGGGCAGAGTGCAGCGAGCATGGGGTAGAAGCTGCCTGATGGGCGTGAGCCTTGGGCAGCAGGCTTTGGAGTGCCCAGCCTGCCCTGGGTCTGACATATGGCATCTGCTCACGGCCACTTGTTCTGCCTTCTCAGTGACATGCTGGCAAGCATGTGCCCGTGAGCCCCAGGCTTTTTTTCCCTTATTCATCTCCTTGCCTCCTACTGTGCCCACAGAACACTTCACACATTTCTGCCTCCCAAAGGGGGGCTGGCAGAGTGAATGAGTCTCGTCACAGGGGTTCGGAATGACGTGGTGGTGGGCGTGAAGCCCCCAGGGGGCTTCAAATCTTCAAACATGGTACATATATGGCTCTGAAGTCACTGTGTGGAAAAGTGCACATGCCAGGATGTGAAAAGGTAACCGTGACCCAAGGCCCAAGGAAGGTGAAAGGTAACCTCTCGCAGGGACGGTTGGTGTGTAAGACTGTTGGGTGGTCAAGAGTGTTCAGGAAATAGCAAACCAGATGGAAGAAGGCCGACTTCTCTACTGCAGGAGCGATCAGGGCCTTTAATATTCTAACATACATGATGAATAACCACTGGGCTGTGGTCTGCAATACATCCTAAGCTTATCTGACTATAACTACACACAGACACGCACGTGTCTTAGTGAAGGCCTAGACCCCTAGGAAATTACTCTTTAAATGTTGCTGGAAGCTGTTTCCCATGTCAGGGCACAGACAGAACAGACTTATTGGGAATTTTATGATAGAACTTGCTCACTTAACCTGAGAGGGCAAGAGAATAAAGCCATTTGAGAGCTCAAGGGTCCTCCTCTTCCTTTGCTGTCTGGTCCAAGGAACCCATTCAAAAAAAAGAACAGCCCAAAAGTCATGTCCAAAAACTATGATATTGAAACAGAAGCGACAAGCTCCAGTGTTCCCATCCCAGCCTCACCTGAGGCCCAGCGCTCAGCTCAGCCATGAGGGGAGAACAGGCAACTGGAATGCTGAGCCAATCTTGTAGGATCAGGCTGAAAAGACAACTGCTGGTCCACCTTGTCCCCTCTGCAAGTGCCACCTCCAAGTCCTGTGGTCAATTAAGAATTAAAATTAAATGTCAATTTAGCTCATCTTTTTTTTTAAGCAATAAGACCTTGTCCTTGAGCTTTGGCTCTGCCCTCCCCCACGGTCAACAGCCTGTCCATCCAGGGACCCTGTGCTCCTCGCATCCAGGCCAGGCCCGCCAGACCCTCTCCACACAGGAGCCTCGCCGGGCAGAGTGGTCCACAGCTAAACAGGATGGCACTGACTCCTTGGCATTGGGCCCTGAGAGACTGGCCTCAGCTCCCGCTGCCACTCCCCAGTGGGCTCCACTCCCCATCCTCAAGACTCGGGCACTTTTGCTCCTATGAGGGTGCCCTACATTCTGCCCGGTAGATTCCCAGAGAGTTTCTGTTGCTTACAACCTGAGAACCTGGCCTAGTACATAGAGCAAACAACTTTAGCAAATCTCTACTTCATTTCCAAGAAAATCGTGGAACTTAAAAATCTGAAAGTAAAGAAGAATTGGGTTTTGATGTAAACCAATTTGTCTACCTTTACTTTTGTTCCCTCCACTTTGGGGCTCTTAGTCTAAAAACCTTGCCCGTTCCTGTGTGCTGGAGATTTCCTCCTGTTGTCTTCTAGCAGGGCCAGAGTTTCAGGTCTGACATTCAGGTCTTCAATCCATTTGGAGTCTGCTTTTGTAAGTGGTGAAAAACAGGGGTCTGGCTTCATCCATCTGTGCAGGAATTTCCAGTTCTCCCAGCACCAGTTATTGGTGAGGCTGCCCCTTCTACAAAGCACCTTCTTGGCACATTTGTTGAAGATCGGCTGCTGCCCATGTTGGGTTCATTCTAGGCTCTCTCCATTGTCCCCCTGGTCTATGGGTCATTTTTATGCCAAGGCCCTGCTTTTTTAATTACTATGTCTCTGTAGTAGGTTTGGGGTCAGGTGGTGCAAAGCTCCAGAGATGACGATGTGACACTTACTTGTCTTAAAGCCAGATGACAGAATGTTGAACGTTTTAACCACAAAGAAATAATGATAAGCATTTGAGGAGACAGATTTGCCCTGATTTGAACATTATACAATATACACATGTATGGAAACATCAAAAGGCACCCTGTAAATCTATTTTATATATTGGTTAAAATAAAACAAAAAAAAATTTTAAACTGACCTTAAAGCATCTCTAGTGACCTAACCTCCTCACTTGGGGCAGCGGGCAGAAAAAGCACCCTGACCCTAGCAAGGTCGGGCAGCACAGCCAACATTCCCTAGCTCACCATGATGGTCAGATTTCCCACCGGCCTGTGCTCACTGAACAGATTCCCAAACCTTCATTTGCCACATAGATAGAGCCTGCGCTGCCCTTGGTGGAAGGCTGACATAGGGACCATTTCCTCTCCCCTCCCAGGCCCAAATGGGACCCAGTACCCAAAGCTGCCCAAGAGTGTCTGCATCTTTTAAATATCTCAACGGCTATATGTTCACACCCTGAGCCTCACCACAAGCCCCCAGCTCTGCTCTGAAGGTCGGGAGCTCCTCATATGGAGAGTGGCGGTCCCACTCAGGGACCTTAGCAGCTCACCAGGAGTCACTGCCCCAGCGGGTTTCATTTGGACTGCAGGGTGCGCTTATTCTGGAGAGAGGTGTCTGAGCACGTGCAGCACAGCCAGCAAGCTGGCCCCTGAGTCCCAGCCACGGAGACCAAGGCTATCTTTAGTTCTTCAGGGAATGGCAGGGACCAGAGTATCCACTTCTCTCTGCAGAGCCAAGGTCACCCTGGTCCCTGAGCACATTCTGCAACCCTGATGTGAGGAGAGCTGGTGAAGGCAGGTGGGCTGCAGGCCTTCCCTGGGGCCGCAAGAGCAGGAGGGAAGCAGCCGCCCTCCCCTTGGGTGCTGAGTGGCAGCCAGGCCCCCCCCTCCCCAGGCCCTGCGGCCTCGCACACTTCCCCAGCTGCTCTGGGCCTGGGCGGGGGTCCCTCTTCCTTTCCAGGTGCATTCTACAAACCCACCTCCCTCACACCTGTGAGGGGCTACAGACGGTCTCTAGCCCACCCTGTTCCCACCCCACACTGTTCCTCTCACAATAGAAGCCTCCTCCTGTGGCATATTCAGTGCCACCTACAAGTCCTGCTTGGCCACTGGTGACCATGAGCTCCCTGAGAACCAGGTCCACCAGGGTGCATTTATCACTAGGCCCTAGTGCCAACAGCTCCACGCCCACAGGAGACACGGCACTGTGGCACGACAGCCACAGGCCACCCAGCTCCCCCCACCACACTCACTGTGCCGAGATGGCCCAACCCCACTCTCCACCGCCTTTCAGGGGGCCGCCATTGCCACAGGGTGAGATGGGCAGTCCTCTCAAGAGCCTGTGGCACTGAAAACAGAACCACATCCCAGGTGGCCACCCAATGGACACTGAGCCGGTAACTCTGCAAGCCCAGGTTCACTGCAGCACTGCTCAACTGCCACGATTCAGAGTCCACGCAGGTGTCCACCAAGGACAGCGCTCTGCCACAGAGACTGCTCAGCCGTGAGGCTGGAGCTGCCACTCTCCACAGCGCGACTCACTTGCTGAGTGACCCAAGCCAGGCACCGGGGACAAGCATGGCACCTTCTCCTCCAGAGCCACAGAAGCCGGTTTCAGAGAAGTAGGGGACAGAGGGGCCGGAGGGGGAAGGGGCGGCTACGAGCCCCTTGGGTAGCAGGTGACTTCTGCCCCTCTTAAGTGGTGGGGTGAGGAGGGTCAATACTGTGTCTCAAAGTCGGTAGACTAGAGATTCTAATCACAAAGAAATGATAGATGTGCAAGGTGAAGGAGGGGGTCCTTACCCTGATTTGCTCATTACACAATGTCCATGTGTCAAAATATCACGTTGTGCCCATAAATAGTTACAATATATTGTATCAATCAAAAATTTTTAATTAAACACACAAACAAAAAAGCCTGTACAGTGTAGGGTTCAAGATCAAGATCAAGATTAAGGCATCCAGATATAGCTGCGTGCAATGCTGCCCCTACTCGCCAGCAATGTGAACGTGGCCAGGTTGACTTCTCGGTGCCTCTGGGTCCTAACCTGTGAAATGGGGATGGCCATTACACAGCATCGCAGGACTGTAAGGAGAGGCAAGTGGGCCTGGCTAAAGCACTTAGTGCCCGGCATGAGTGTTGGTTTAGGTTGTGGCCAGACATAGTGCTCAATGATATTAAATCCAATTAATTGCTCTTAATTCTCTAACTGCTTTTCCTAGGAAGAATCACAGTGGAAGGCTAATGTGACAGACGGCTCAGGAACACAGAGGGAGAAGCCAGGCTCAGCTCTGGCCAGCAGGAGGATTTAGCCAAAAGGCACAGAGGGACTTTGCCTTTGCTGCACTTATCATCATAAGCGAGCAGAAATCGTCACTGTTTTTCTATTTGAGATCACGACACAGAATCCCACTTAAAGTTTATTGATACTGAACAGTGAAAAAATTCAAAGAAAAATATGGGTCAACAACAATATATGGACAGGCAGCCACCCATGCCTGTGGGTTCTGCCTCGGAAGGTTCAACCAGCTGGGGATCCCGAGTATTTTTTGATTTAGTTAATTCACTAAACACGCACAGACTGTTCTCTCATCGTTATTCCCTAAGGAACGCAGCACAACCACCACTTACACGGGAGGTAGGTGTAGCAGATGCCTAAGGAGCCCGGATGGGATCTGGAGCACGGGAAAGCAGCACATAGTCCCAATCGCGGGTCAGTGACTGCAGTGTCTGCAGAGTTTCCTGTCAGAGGATCCTGGAGCCAATCCCCGTGGACACCGGGGGTGGCTGTACTTACACATTCTACGGCATGACCTGAGGGGCAGCACTAACCCTCCACGGTGGGAAACACTGCTGCGGGCCGTGCCCAGGGAGCACCAGGTAGATGGCCAGTGGCAAAGCCAGGACCCAGCGGGTCCCCATAGAGAACAGTCCAAGTCGTCCCTAGAGATGGTTTCTGTCTCCCAGGTGTGGACGGAGGTGGCACAGGGCGGAGGCACTGGAGAGCTGGGGACTGCAGCTCTGGACATGGGTCACCAGTCCCCCGAGCCTGCCCGGCCCAGCCCACCACCAAGCACAGGGTAGGCAGCACCACACGCAGGTCCCAGGGAACCCACGTCTCCTGGGTGCCCTGTCTCTGAGGATGGGGGGGCGGGGAAGCCAGCACCCCAGGCGGTGCTGCAGAACAGCTGCTTGGCGTCCCCTGGTGCGTGGGGACATGGCTCTAGCCATGATCCTGGGTTTCTTTCTTGCTTTGGCTTCACCCATCATCATGCCCATTGGCGGGGACGTCGGTACGTAGGTCCAGCTTGCTTTTGTGTCCTGTTCCCTATGACTCAGGGACAGACCTCACCCCCAGACACGATACCCCTGTCGCTGTCCCCCAGGCAGCCAACATAGCTGGGCCTGGCATCGTAGGAAGGCGTGGTCAGAGCACCTCTCTGCCTCCACCTGAACCGGCACAGAGGACAGGACCAGATGCCAGCTCAAGGCCTCCCGGCACACACTAAATTGTTCAGAAAACATCTTTAGGTGTTGGCGATGTCCAAACCAAGGCTGAGGAACCAACCTAACCAACAGTGCAGGGGTGCGGATAGGCCGCCATGTTCAAGGAGGCTTGGGTCAGTGGGTGGACTGGGGCTGGACTGCTGGAGTGGCCCCACCTCAGGCTCCTCACTCCCTCACCTTGGCAGGAGTAGAAGGGGAAGGTGGGGACAGAACAGAAGACGGAGGGAGCCACCCAGCTCACGGGAGGATCTCCCTTCCAAAGTCATCTCTCTCTCGTCTGAGCGTTTCTTGGGTGCATTTTGAGATGGAAAGGCTTGAACTGTGAGCTAAATGAGCAGGAAGACCAGAGGGATCTGGTTAACTTGGGCTTTTTATAAAATAAATCATGGGGATGAGGAGGGAGGGGGGAGATGGGAAGAGGGAGCAGGTCAGATGAGAAAAGTGGCTTCACCAAGGTTCCTGGCCTGCAGAGGGGAAAGGGGTCAGCCTCCAGAAGTG